CCAAGTAGCGCAACCTTGTTGGGGTAGCGATCTGACCTAAAGCGCTTGTGTGGTGGTCACAAGTCACCTTTCATAAAGTATTCATGGGGGACTTATAACTCCTGTTTGGATTATGATACCGAAGAAAATGAAACTGAAGACACAGACGATCGTTTGCATAATCGATCTTGATTATGCGCGTTCAGCTTACCTTCGACTTTTGTCTCCATAAGTTCCGACTTTATAAGATTACCTTTGAGCACTAATTGCTTTCTTTTCAGTTGAAAACACGAGAAAAAGAATGGCCGAGAAAAAGAAAAAGAACGCGTTCTGTTCTCGGAACAAACTCAAAAGAAGTTCTATGCGAACACGTGTGAGCTGTGCAACAAGGTGAACATTTCCTAGTGACCCCTAGTGTGCTACTGTATTTGTTTTACTGTTTTTAGATTTAAGACTTTCAAAAACGTTCACTGGTCTTCAAAACTTGCCAAAGATTATATCCTAATGGTACAACATAACTATTGATTTTCTGAGACACTTTGGAACTCTTGGATGAAGTGGTTCGTGTCACCATTCGCTAACATTCACATGAAATACCTCTATTTCATGTAGTGTAATATTTGCATAATAAACATTTCAACAGGAACTGCTTTGATTTACAGTCGATATTCTACTACCAAGACATCACTGCATCGGCGTGGAACTGACAAGGCCGCTCGCATGGCAGGCAAGCATTCTACTACTGCCACCCATCCATACCATCGATGAAAAACCGAGATACAGGAGACCGCAAGAGATTGCCCGGACTATTGAGGCTGGGAGTTTGGCCGTATCTGTGGCGCGCACTCATCTGAAAAACCACTCATTAACTCGCAGGCGATAGGAATGTGTGCTGGGGCATCACATTAGAACCCGCGTGTACAGATACCAGTAGGGGGACGGCAGGAAAGCTAAGGAGCTCGGAGCTAGGACTCTGAGCTAGGTAATAGTTGAGTATTCATGGAATTCCGGTCAAGGTAGCCACAGAACAAAAACTCAAGAAGTCGGAAGTAAATCTGAACGGTCAAAATTAGCGTTGGTTTATCGAACCTAACGCCATAGAAGGGAAGTGCGTTGTTGAAATTAATTTTGCCCTGTGCCAATGATTGTGTGGAATGGTTCTTGAAACATAGTGTAGAAGATCTATCTGACGCGGAAGTCCAAAGAAGTAAGAACGAAAAAAAGTTGTGGCCGGGAAGGGCGCGCCATTATGTTCATCCTTCACAAGAAAAGCCGGTGGATGAAGTGTGGCATTGAGGGCCTGATAACAGAAGCTGGACCATTGACGAACTTGCCCGCGAAATCGACGTTCCTGCAAGAGCCCTTGGACGGGTACGCCCGAAACATTGAGAATGGTCTGGCAGATGTATGTTTGGGCGCTTCATTATCTTGCAGAAGCGCGAATGAGGTCTGGATTCAGTGACCTTATTATTGGGCCTTATTCGCCCGACCTACAGCCGCGGCGATTCCAACTGTTCTGCTCCAGACGGATGACCGAATTCGGAATAAGCACTCGATCCTTTTTCACCACTCTTTTCTCAACTTTAAATTGTGACTGCTGCAGAACTGGCACTTCTGAAGCAAGGGGAATGAAGAACCACCATGATCGGAGTCCGCCCATGCCGGGCCCGTTAAGGATCTTCCACCGTTTCCCTCCGAACAACCGCCAAATTCGTCTGCCGCCTTGATCTTTCAACTACGAATTGTATGTACACAAAACATCAGTGCTATCCCCGTTTGGTCCCATAAAATTGGGGGGAAAAAAGCGCCAGGAATGACAATGGGAGAAGATAGTGTGGCATGTTGAAAAGTCGCTCAATCACGTGACCTCAATGTCAATAAAAGGTGACATGTCGTCGCCGACGATAAAGAAACTATTTATGAATTCCATTTGGTTTCAGTAGTCCCAATGGCCACTAAAGGCCAGATGAGCTCCCTATGTTGTGCTTAGGAGATCCAGACAGT